CGCTTCAGGGGGGAAAGGAGGGACAAGATTGAATGCAATGCAATACAAATTACAACCATAACATTTATTCTGTAATCTAATGTTTAACTTTTGCCCTTTACATTTTTGAGTTGCATTTCATGTATGAACAATATTATTATAAACATTTAAATAAATAAAATATCTATTGTTTGTTATTGTTTTATTATTATCTAAATGTAAGCATATGTTCACACAAATCAACAGCTTATTGTCTGGCATTGTTATAGCCGGTGCTTAATATTGGCAAAGGTATGCATATTAATACATGACAAATATTGACCGTACCTGTAGAAAGAAAGTACAAGTCTTGAGTAACAGAAACATGAGATATAAATCAGACCTGACATACAGCTGGTATTTCAACTACAAACCTGCAAATAACCACAGTTTTAAGACATCCCCATACAGGTGTTTGATCATTCTTATTTATTAGATTTTGCCATATCACACAGTACTTGGTTTTCAATTATATTCATCTTATAATGCTATACTATACAAATTAATGTATTATGTTATATCTTACACTACTCTGTACTATGTTATATTGTTGTACTATATTAATAGTGTCTAATATTGTTGAACAATTGTATTATATTATGCTGTAATATGTATCATATACCATAGTATATCATTTTGTATAATGTTATTTTGGCTAATTTATAATATTAACACAGACCAATACATATCATATCACACATTTTTCTGGTTTATAATCACTTATATTGTTTAATATTTTTTTTAATCTTTTAAAGTACTTGTTTTGTTCTTACTTTCACATAATTTTTTACTGCCTTTATTTACTGCCTTTATTTATATATGTATAGATATGTTACTGATGCAACCATGTGTTAATCAATAAAAAGGTGTGTGACGTATCTTATGTAAACTACTCATAATGAGGACACCTTTTACATATATCTAAATAGGTACATGACCAATAAGATAAATAACATACAGCGTGATAAAGTGATATAACCAGGTTGGCGTTTGTTATCGTTAGCTACTGACAAGCCCTGTACAGTTACAGTAATGTTAGCTTTCACTCTGTACAGCGTTTACTCTGATTGGATCATGGCTTCCCCAAAAACTGGTGGCCATCACGGATATGCAGACAAACCCGAATTTAGGATAAAAGTGAAGCCCCCGACATGACCTTGGCGACAATTTAACAGAACAAAATCCACTTGAATAATATAATTAGAGGCACGCGGTGTCACAAACAAAGCAACGAGGACGCGTTATGTCTATCTGCTTCGCTGGAGCTCTCGGGAGCTTTGCTACCTAGCTGAGGTTAGCTATCATGTCTACAAGCCTCCAAGCTAGCTCCGGGTTCACCATCTGCATCAGCTAACTGTGTCAGAAAGTTTGGACAGTTAGCTGCACACTGAGTAGTAACATGTACATATTTATCAAAAACAAAACGCCGTTGGTCAATTTACCTTTCGGCTGAACTGTTACTGCACACCATTAGATGAAAAATATTGTGATGTTTCTTCAAAATATGACTGCTCTCCGAAAGTTCCCTCCCCCTCGATGTTGTTTTGCTGACATGTTAAAGTTGTTCTTCTGTTGCCTGTGCTGATTTGTCAATGTCACCGGAAATACCCGCCTACCTCTACAATGATTGGCTTTCCCCACGTCATTCATCCACATTTTCTTCTGTAGCCATGGCAGTAACTTTTTGCTTAACTTTCTTTGTGGTTGAGTGGCCATAACTGTACACAAGACGCTAATCTAATCTCGTCATTCAATACAGGCATTAAGGAATTAAAAAAATATATGCTAAAGAATTTATTGTTCAACAGAATAATCCAAAACTTGGACAGCTATCTGATTAAAATGCATTAATCATTGATCATTCTTTTTAGTCATTGTAGAGCCAAAGTGGTGACCATTGTGTCATTCCCAAGCAAACAGAATTCCAAACACAACCAGAGTTTTTTCAAAAGAAAAGTCAATTAGCTGTATTCATTTCGACTGTCATATCATTAATATCCTTTAATCTTTCAGCAGGCCCTGATGAAATCAATGCTATTCTTTTGCTGTCTATCAAACAATGTATCTCTTAATAAATTAACCCAGTCTATAAAGCTTTTAAGCTCAAAGTTGTGGTCATCGCTAAAGCAGCACGCCACTGATTTTACAGGTCAATATATTAATCATGAGCAATTTTCTTAACCTTTTCCCTATTTTTACACCTGGACTCTAATGTCCATACATTTATATTTTAACCTGCTTTATGTAATGTTCATATCTTGAAATGTGTGCACATTATCACATATGTAATGCCTTGTTTACATATTTAAATATAACATTTCAATACATGTTTTCCAAAGAAAATGCTATAAGTATAGTCAACTTAAGTTTCATGGTGATCTCTGACATGTTTTTATCCCATTCCCCTGCAGTGTAGTGTGATCTGTCTACTGTCTACATTATGCGTTATATTAACACGATTTGTGACCTTCATCATACTCCGTACTGTGAACCTATGCTCATCATTTTATATATATTTTTGATTTTGAGAATACAGGTTGAGAATTACAATTCTTTTTTTTTTTAAACATAGTTATTTTTTAACGTTTTCCTTTTTACTAGTCTGAAAGAGGACATGTAATGGATGCAAATCAGCCATTGAACGCCAGTGCATATATATTCAATGTTTTTCCTGTGGGGCTTACTTACTTTGTGGAAAGCATGATGTCTATTTCCCCCATGGCAGCATCATAGAATATACAACTGGGTTTAAATAAAAAATACAAACAAGCACTTATTTTCAATCTTACTTTAATAGGGAACTGTTAATACTCCACTGTATGTGCTCCTCCTTGCAATCCCTAAGGTGGACACAAGATGGAAGCAGTGACCAGCAGTTGCCTCAATAAACTGGCCTGTGCAGCTCTGTGCTGTCACACAGAAGCACCTGGCAGGTAATGAATGACCACAGACATCTGAGCTCTAAACAAACATGCCAAGTCCAGAGTGATTGAGTGCCAGCCGTCATTTACATAGTTAGAAAATCTGGTGATAGCAAAGAGTTTCAAAGGCAAACCATGCAAAACGATACACAGGTTTAGTCAGGCTTAATTTGCATCATTCTGATATCAGAAACTTTGTGTAGTTTTCATTATGAAAAGATAAAGCTGTTTTTAATGGGGACTTGTTTGTTTATGCATGACTGAGCTATTATTTTTTCTGCTCCTGTTTTTTCCTTTCAAAGTACAGTTCATAATTTGTCTGCATTTACATAGAGTGTATCTTATCCAAATAGATTAAAAATACATATTGAGATCTGTTTTAGGACTGAGAAATGTCAATATTCAAAATGTTTCTTGGTAATCTTTACATATATGTATGATACATTTAATATTAAATGTCTTGTTTGCACCATTTTACACACCCAAACTCCACGATGGATTTTGACAAGAACAGGAAGTCTTCAGCTTTAAAACACACATGTGCTAATATACAATTTAATAATGAATATAAACAATTACCTATATTTTTTATATTGGCATTTGTTAAGATTCATCCATCTATCTATCTATCTATCTATCTATCTATCTATCTATCTATCTATCTATCTATCTATCTATCTATCTATCTATCTATCTATCTATCTATCTATCTATTGACATTGACACTTCAATGACCTTGTAAAAGCACTCCACCTGACAGCCCATCATTTGAATACCTCACATCCCAAAAAACAAAGCCTCACATTAAAACTTTGATCCTAACTTCCCCTCCTCAACAATTCTGCCCTTTCTTATATGCCTCCATAAAGGATGTTCTCAGGGTTCCTGAATGTAAATTTTACCCAAATAAACAAACCTAATTAACTCTGCGGTTCAAGCCACCGCCAACTTGAAATTCACCGAGCCAGGAAAGGGCTCGGCCGCAGTCATTTGGCAGTGAAAGGGCTAGTGGTTGTGGCTTCCATTCACCTTGAAACCCTCCGTAAAAGGCTCCGGTGAACCACTGGCGTGATATCTTATTCAAAGTCTTCAGGTTTTTTAAATGGGTGGGCTGAACAATGGATCACTCACCTACTGATGCAAAGAAGGTCCCTTGAATTGATCCTTCTTCCCTTTCTTTCTTATTTATAAAGCCCTTTTTTTATTTCTCTCTAAAAGGGACACTTAAAATAAACCCAAGCAGAATCAAGTAACCTACTGTAACAAAGTATTGGTCTGTCTTTTGTATTTTCACATTATTGTACATTTTCACTTAAAATAAAAGTGAATGATTAAAGTAAATAATTATTTTAATCTTACCTAATTTGAGCAAATACAAATGATTTGAAAGTTTTAAAAGTTACTAATAACAACTTTGAAGTCATGTGTTCCATTATTACTGTATGCACCAATAACTGCAAGTTTTTCTTTGTAATTTTGTAAATATTGTTTT